CTCTCTCTCTCTCTCTCTCTCCATCCCTCCCCCTCTCTCTCCCTCTCTCTCTCTCGCACGCGTCGCTTCCTACTCACTCTTGAGCAGCCGCATCAAAGGTCTCGTACTTTGAATTGAGCGCCTGGTCCAATTTGAGTATGCTAGCGATATTTCCGCACCTGTAGCAATAATTGGGTGCAGACCATACGGTGACGATGGTATTATCAAACATGAGCTTGTAGCCCTCCAAGACCAGTTGGTGTGCGCGCGCTATCAGATCCAGACCGTTGGTGTGGGCAAATTGCGTGGCAATGTCCGCTCCGAACAGGAAACCTGCGCCGCGAGGTGAGATGCCCCATCCTTGAATGTCTGACATGGCAAGGTGGAGTGGAGTGGAGCGTGCGCGTGCAGGTGGGCAAGAGGAGCGAGCGTAAACATGATGCTAGAAGCACCGCACCGCTCAATCATGCACCACAACCCCCCCCTCACCATCCGGATCGGACCATAGCAAATCGCACATGAGTCCATCGTGCGGCACCTCTTGTTTCCGATCGATGGATCGAATCTGCAAAAAAGGGGGGCAGGATTGCAGGCGTGGCGGGATGAGCAAGGGTGACAGAATGTCAACAGTGCAGTGCAGGCCACAATCAACCATTGCCCCACCCGCTATCCGCTATCCGGACGACGTAGCCCGCGCAACGCAACGCAACGCAACGCAACGCACCTCATCGATCGTCTTTAAATTCGGACTCAATCCACCATGCACGCAAAACACCCTTGCATCCACCACCGCGCCCAAGGCCAAGTAATCAAACACTTCGCAGCAATACCTCCACACATTTGCGCTGCCATACTTTCTCGTGCACTCGTCGTAGAATCCGTACACTTGCGTAATCTGTCGAGATTCGTGATTGCCGCGAATCAGGGTGATGCGGTCTGGATAGCGCACCTTGTAGGCGAGCAAGAGCAGAAAAGTTTCTACGCTGTAGAATCCTCGATCTACAAAGTCGCCTGGAAGGGAAAGGAGCGTAGGGTGAGAGGTCAACGCGTCGTCGCAGCACAGCACAGCAAGTTGGTGAGAGTGCTGCCCTGCCTCACCCATGAACAAGTACTGCGTCTCGGGACACGGGCCGCCCACGCTGAAGAGCTCCACAAGGTCCCAAAACTGTCCGTGTATATCTCCGCAGATGGTGACGGGCGCATCCACATGCTGCACATTCGCCTCCTCCACCAAGATCTCCCTCGCCTTCAAACACAAACTTCGCACTTGAGCTTCCGAGATCGGTTCGCAACGTGACAGTTGCGCTATTTGACTGCGTGCGTGCGTGCGAGAGAGAGAGAGAGAGCAAGAGTAAGGGGATGTGCGGTGTGCGGTGTGCGGTGTGCGCGCCCTACGACGACGTGACTTACCGATCTAGGTCGGACGACATGATACAGTGCCGCGCGTGCGGTTGCGGTTGCGGTTGACGACTGTCTTCGAGGGGGGGCAACTCGAGATGCGTATGCGTTGCGCGAGTGGTGGAATGGTGGAGTTGAGTGATGAGTGATGAGTGATGAGTGATGAGTGATGAGTGATGAGTGATGAGTGATGAGTGATGGGTGAAGAGGTGAGCGCAGCGGTAGCCACCCACGCACGCACGACTCGCGACTCGCGACTTGACGAGTTGACAGATCTCACGATGCTCATCACGAGTGCGAGTTGACAAATCGTCGTGGGCGCGCAAAAGATGCTCATCACGTGAGCCTCCTCCTCCACCCCGCGACAAGCGGCGGGCAACGGAAAAAAAGAGAGAGGAGGAGGCTGCGTGCATGGCAGCCAGCCAGCATGTACAGTGCGTGCGTGCGCACACGCGATGAATCCTGAATGTGATTCCTGAATGCATGCGCTCGCTCGCTCGCTGCTCCATCAACGGCCCCACCACCACCTCGACATCCGCGTCGCATTCACGATTGCAGCTCCCATTCCAGCTTCTGCTTCAGACTTCCACACGGAATCCATCGTCTCGGCGCGTGGGGCAGTGGCAGGCAGTATTGCGCAGCGCAAACAAGATGAGCGTGACTCGAGCTGGAGCTGGAGCAGCAGCAGCAGCAGTGTCAGCAGCAGCAGCAGCAGCAGGGGGCACAGCAGTCATCGCTCTCCTGCCTCGCTCGAGTCACAGTCGAAGCATCGCCATCGCTCACGCTGCCGTCAGGCACATTGGCAGCAGCAGAGATGTCAGCAGGTGTGACATTCACCGCCATCATCGCACTACCGGCAGCAGCAGCAGCAGCAGCAGCAGCAGCAGCGTCACGTCTCAGTCCACTCCTCGAGCCCACACCCACACTCACACCCACACTCACACTCACACCCGTGCACTGCACACCTCCAGCACGCGATATCGACAGCAGCAAGACCGCGGCAACGACGCAGCAGCTCTCGCTTCATCCTTTCAACAACCCTTGACCCACTTCGTATTGACGCTCTCCAAAATAGCGCGCATCATCGTAGGAGGAGCGTTGGCCATCGGAGCATCGTTGGCACTGGGCTACGAATTGACGCATCAATACATCGAGTACAAGCTCATGCCTTTGACCTCCTCTTCCACCCTGCTGCTGCTGCCTCATCAAGACATACAAGGATGGAATGAAGAAGCTTACGAAGAGAGCTGGTCCCCTCTCAATGCTACGAGCGGCACGGATGGCAGGTTGGGTTGGATGGCTAGACACGCTATACGCGCTGCTTGGGCAGCTTACGAGTTGGGAGGCGGCATCTCACCCGCCATCTTTTTCGAGCAGCAAGGAAGAGAGAACAGATCTTCGCCGGGAAGCCCATCTCTTGGTCCCTCTTCTTCGCGCTCATCCACCACAAAGATCAGCGAAGCATTGCAGAACATAGACGGCATGAGATTGGCAGAGCAACACTTGATCATCGCTCTTCGCCTAGCCGAAAAAAGGGGCATCAGGCTACCAGACATTGTCGCGCTGCGTCTGGCAGGAGCCGGGCACGTCGACATCCAGGTGGACGAAACGGCAGTGGTGTTGGAGAGAAAATTGGCTTCCATTCGCGAGCGGCTTGGCACGCCTCAAGCTCTTCAAGCTGCTCTCGCCACCTATACCCGCATTTACGACGTCCTCTTTCATCAACGGCAAGCTGCAGGCGAGGTTGCGGTTGCGGGTTCGAGTGCGGGTGCGGGTTCGAGTGCGGGCGCGGCTATCGGTGCATCCTCGCCCGCATCGCTGGTCAGGCTCGCAAAAAAGATTGGCGACCTCAACGCTCTGCTCGGCAGGCCCAACGAGGCGCACGAATGGTTTCATCGTGCCGCTTCCTTCTCCAGCAGCACGGGCGCAGATGCGGGCACCAGCGCAGCTATGGTGGATGCAGACGATGCCAGCGTCAGGCCGAGCGCCGTCGCACCAGCACTCGCTCTCGATGCTGATGTCGATGCCGATGCGCGTCAAGACGGCTCGCACAGCAAAAGCGCTTCATCCTGGTTCTCTTTCCTCGCTCTCAAAGCTGCTGAAAAGGAGACGTTAGCTGGTGCAGGTCGAAAAGTGGACGACGGCGTGCCTTTTGCTCCCTCTTTGAATTCTGCCACGCTCTCGGCGCCCACCTCTGCCAACGCCGCACCTTCTCCCGCACTCACTCGAGCGCTCATATCGACGCTGTTGAGTCTATCGGCGCTTTATGCGCAGCAATCGCACATCCTACCCGAAGCGCTGACGACGGCGCAGGAGAAGAGGATGCAGCTAGAAAGAGCGCTTTCGGTGCAAATCTCGGCT